ATTTTGACATATTGAGAACTATAGAACATGTTGGCATAGAAAAGGAAAACTTTCTAAAGTGTTTGCTATGACAAAGCAACTACCAAAAATTCAACAACTTCTGCAGTTTCAAAGACTGTGTACAATGGGGGAAAAAAACAGGAGCACACAAGAAGAAAAGAAAACTCAAAATAAAAGGCAGAGGGAAGCACCAAGGTAGGATGGGGAAAGCAGGTGGCAGTTGTGGGGATTATGTACTTTGCTTTAATTACACAGTATCCTCAGAGCACTCACTAATATGCTAGCCTGAAAGTTTAAAAATATGTCATCCAGGTGTCTTAAACAGAATAGCTTACTTTTAGAAAAACAAGCTTAGCTCCAAATGCTTAAATGCATCTCCTGCTTTTCAAAGCGCATCCCACATAGCAGTTCCCTTTGACAACTATGATTGCTGTTGGGTGCTAAGCACTTTGAAAAGAAGCTACTCCTATAAGATATCTAACTTATGGCACTTAGCTTTGAATCTTGTGGCTTCTTCTTTTCTTGGAGAAAAAGGATTTTAAATAGGCTTGCTTGTTAAAACTTAAATTACCAGCTGCAGTGAAATAAAAGTGTTTTTCAGTCAAGGAGCCATTTCAATCTTCCAGTTATTTAACCACTAAAAAAAGATCGTGCCATGCCCCAGCGGCGGACAAAGTGCTGCCTATGGAGTTCTACAGCCTCGCTCAAAGCTGCTGTAATAATGCTTGGAACTTAGATACCACTTTTCATCTTCAAAGCAGTTTACAAACATTAACTAATTAATCCGCACAACATCCCTGAGGCCCACTTGGATCAAAAATGGGGCACTGCATGCTGGGACCTGAATCCTCCGTGGGCTCTAGCTCCAAATTAAAGATGAGCAATCTCTTTTTTTTTCTTCCCTTTTTTTTTTTTTCTTTTTTAAATAGACTCCTGATACAATGCCAATGCAGCCCTCTGTTGGGCAACATTTGGATGCCCCCAGCTTTAATCTCTATTAAAGTATCATGCCCCAGTCTGCCTTTGTTAATTTTGGATGTCTTGGAATCTATTAAACGTGGCAGAGTTTCTTGTGCTTTTAACAAAGCTCCAGCTTTGAAAATGCATCTTCTTTTGTCTTCATGCTAGCTGGCTTCCATGCAAAGATCTTTCAGATGAGATAGATACTGAGTTTTCCGTCGTTGTTGACGCATTAGTCTTAACTATTAACATATTCAGCATGATTTTCTAATATTTAACATTGCTTTTGCAGCACTACATAACTGTTGCTCTTCACCAGCTCCAAGAGCCAGATCCTCCTCTGATGTAAACTGGACTGCCAGTTTACAACAGCAAAGGAACTGACCCAAAAAGTTTAACAGGGAGTTGGCTGCCATCATTACATTGTGTCAGACTGAGTCAGGAGACTGGCTTAGTCCACCTCCAAATAGGAACATTAGCATTTAAAATAAATAGAATGACACTGTGAAGCAGCAACACAAAAATAATCATCTGCAAAAGGATCTCGGGGCGTGACATCAGCAGACAAAAGAGTGTCTGCTCCCAGTGTGAAACCAACACCAAAACAGCAGTGGAATGCTCTTAAACTAATTATTGCATTGCTGGACTTGGGCATGGAAAATACTACAAAAAGGTAGTACATTGAAGAACTGTTACAGAGCATGAAAGGATTCATAGTCTGTCCTGGAAAGTGAGCCATTTGTGTTTCCCCCATGAATGAAGATGCCAGCTTTCTGGTTAAAAAACAAACAAAAAGTCTACATTAAAATAGTACCTAAAAGATTCTGAGTGGAAAATAGCTGGCCAAACCTCAGGTATGCTAGAACTGCAACATCTACACACAAACCCAAATTTCTCTCTTCATTGCACAGGTTTCAATGTATAATTAAACCCACTGACTGAGCTGGTGTTTTTCCAACACAAAGTGGATGTTGGATTGGACCCTAGCTATAAAGATTTAAATCTCTACATATTCCTGTTTTGATTTCCAGATTCTTCAGTGTTTGGGGAACAGCGACACTTAAGTAAGGAACGAAGGGAGGGCTGTTTGTTTGGGTTTCTGCTGTTAATCACTTTAAACTGCACCGTACCTGTAGTGTCGGGAAATCTCCTCTTCCACCTGGGTGGTAAAGTCACATTTGGTACATGAGTGTTCTTTGTTCTCTTTGAGAGTCAGCGGCCCCTCGCTCCCCTGCAGCGCATTTGTTTCTTGTTTGACATCGGATGCCTGGGCTTCGTGGGCATTCTCATAATGCAGCAGGAGCACATCGACATCGGGAGTGGAGAATGAGCACTGATGGCACTGGTGTTTGACTCTAGAGCTTCCTGTCACCCCTGGAGACAGGTGCAAAAGCAAGAGAGCACAGTGGGAACAATTACTTTTTCGGCAAGCAAATGGGTAAGTAATTTCTCCAAGGTGCTTTTCTGGGCTGCAGAGGCCTCGGGGACAGAACTGACAGTGCTTAATGGTACATTTATGAATGTTGTGGAGCTGCTGATAGTGACGGAGAAGTGGGCCCACCACTATTACGTCTGGGCCATGGCTCTTTGAGTACCTAAAGTCACAGAACTGACAGTTGTAGCTTGTCACCATGCTGTCCTCTGCTCCTTTGCTAGACAAGTCTTTCTTTTTTGCCACACTTGCACCCTTTTCTGTCTTTGTCACTAACTCCCCATCTGCATTTTTGGCTAGATCATTCTGGTTAATGACAGATCCCCTAGAAAGCTTATCATTCAGATCTGGGTGCAGGCTTCCTGACTGGTTTCCCCCATGCTGCTTGCTGTAATGTTCTAAGAGTTTCAGTGAGCTGGACGATTCGCAGCTGAAACTGCAAAATTTACACCAGTAGTAACTGGTTGTATCGGTACCATTTTGTCTAGAGGAATCTATTGGCTTGATGGGCACCGAATATCCAACTGGTGTATCATCTCCTGCTTTTACAGTGATTCTGTCTTGCCACTTCCCCAAGTCTCCAGAATCACATGGTCGAAGAGTAGGACTGGATTTATTGGAGTTTTTCTCTGAAGTTTTACCAGAATCAGAGGAGGGAAGGGCTGCTTTCATTTTGTTTGGGTGAGTCTGTAAGAAGTGTTGCTCTAGCTCAGTGGACGAGTTGCCCATGTAGGTGAAATTGCAGAATTTGCAGCGGAAGTACTTGGTGTTGCCTTGGCAATCTGGAGTTTTCCGCCCAATGCCAATAAACGTTCCACCTAAAGTAACCTGTGAATAGAGAATAAGGCCCTTTTAGCTTCACTTTAGTTTTATTCAAATAACAGAAAGAAAAAAAAACAGAAGAGAAATAAAGAGCAGTTAATTAAGTAAGCTTCTTTCACCAGCCACCACCACCACCAGCATTTTCATTTGTATTTTTGTACTAATGCAGCAAGACATCATACTTATACACTCACTTATTTAGCACTTGCAGCTGAAAATTTTGCAATGTTTCACAAAGTTGAACATATATTCCATATGAATATTAAATATTTCTGTTTGGGGAAACTGAAGAACACATGGCAACATGACTCAAACTCAAAATTCTCTAACAAACAGGACTATTTCTTCCTTCACCAAACCACTTAACTACTGTTAAAACTTCAGCTTACTGTTGAAAGAAGATCCAATAATAATTTCCCAAAGCCTTTAACCTTTTGTTGGAAGACTTCATTGGGATATGTATAGAGAGAGCTATAGATAGATATAGATATAGATCGATCCTAGCATATGTACATGCACACCAGATGTGGAGTAAACCCTCTGTCTTTTTCTATCAATGCACTTAAGTGTTTTAATGGCATTCTTGCTTAATGACCCAAAAGATTTGCTTTCAAAATATGAGCAAAAAAGTACTGAATTTAAAAACGTGACTGTAGTAGTTTGCTTTCTACAAAGAACATTCTTGTAAGCATTTCCAGTATCCACCAGGACTCCTTTTAAGAATGCTGGAGCAGCCAATGCCTGAAATAAAAGGCCATTTTCTCACGATTACTCAGTCCAAACGTTCTCCAAGGAAATCTCTCCCTCTCATATACAGAGCTCAACGAAGATGGAAAAACTAGTGTAGAAAAAGCGGCATGTGGCAAAGCAACGTACCACACCCAAGGCCCTGACTTCACTAACTCGAAAGAAAAAAGGTAGCTCGGCTGTTCCCATGATCTGGGAGCAAACTGGTCTGCAGGAAGGCAGAGCGGCTGCCAGCGCTTACGTTACTGGAAGGGCCGTCTCGAGCAGGCCGGCCGCCCTTCCCGGGAGAGCACCACACCTGCCCGCTGACATCAGGGGGAGATTTGCTGCTCCTGTACAACTGGCTCGGAGGTCAAAAAAGGAAACGTCACCACTCCTTCTAAAAATTAATAAAAGCTATACAGCATTCAGAAAATGACTCCTCTTCCCATCCAAAATTCAGGGCCAGCTACACCTTTGCCATCATCAACTCTACTCCACTGAATCAAAGACATGGGTGGAAGCTCCTGATGCCACGTCTCAGTTTCTATGTCCAAGAGATGCCTTAAAAAGAATATAAAATTTCCACAAGAGGTTAGATCTTCATTCTCCCAACAAGTAAGCCTATTACTACATTTCTACGCGATTCAGTTGTAATGCGTTAGGCAAGTGGTGCAATTATTTTTCTTCTCTTTCTCAACAGCTGTGCCCAAAGAAAGCATGTGATCACTGCTCATTCAGTGTCTCGCCATACGGAAGGACTCAGACATACAGAGAGCACAAAATGTAAACATTTTTAAATGCATATAATACAAATGCCTTTTAGCCATTTAGTTTGGAGAATGAGATGCTAGACTGTGTGCCATCAGAACTGAGCACACACAGTGAGTCAATGTGCTGCTAAACACTGATATAATGAGCTGCTTTTCAGCCTCTGATTCTTTTTTTAAAAGAAAACATAGTTCCCATCAGCTGGTTGAAATTGTTTTTTCTTTCTAATAAACTGAAAATTGATTTCCATTTGTTTAGAAAACAAATTTCAACAGGTAATGGTGAGCCAGACAGCCAAATAACGAGGATGTAACTACAGTAACATTTACATTGAAACTGGAATTTCAAGTTCTAATATCAAGTTATGAATATGCCATTTTGTTTCAAGATTTGAAAGGACTCTCTCTTTGGAAGAGGAATATTTTAACAGACCTTCTGCACTGCAGAAGACACTTTGTTTTATTCATTTTATGGCTAGCAAGAACTGGAGACAGAAACCATACTGAGCCTGATTCACGGACAGTAGTGGGATTTGGGCTCGCTCCATTGTGTCTGGCAGATGAGGCCTCCATCTACTGCATGAATTCAATATTGAAGGCCTCACTTATGTCAAAGACATCTTAAGAACAGCAATGATGGCAATGATGGAATTATGGCAAACAGAAAATAGTAGCAGCACACCATGGGATTTCCTATGTTGTGAAGGATCTGGTTTTGCTCATCTATTTAGTTGCTTATGTTTGCTTCATAAAGTGGAAAAGATTCTTTACCTTTAAATGCTTCTAATGAGTATATATCCATTATTCTTACGTATCAATTCACAGAGTTTACAGATGGCAAACTTATTTTGCAGACACTCTGTGGACACTTGTAAAAATTGTGAGGGACAATTTCAGTTGCTGTTCATTGCTGATTACTCTGAACAGTGAAATTTCTGAAAGAACCCAAACCTGAACACTGGAGAAACACTAATATTAGCATTTTATACAATGGAATATCTGTAAATTAGAACATTTCAGTAATTTTGTTAATCCTGCTTAATGGCCTACATTGCAAATTTGCAATATGTATCTCCCTCTACATCTGAGAAGGATAAAGGAGAACTTAGTATTAACATGTTATTTCTGTTTGTCTGTTACAATAGTGGGTTGGGGGGAGGGGGAGGAAATACAATCTTTGAAGCACTGGAATAGAATTGATTATTAATTAGTGTACATGAAAGGTAATACAGGGCCATCTTTATGTTATTACATGCAGTTGTGTCTTATTACATACAAAGACATGGCTAAGATAAAGAATGAGAGAATTAAAGAAACTGGCTTCCACGAAAAGAAGTTAGGTGAAGCACTTGAAGGAAAATAGTAATGAGATAAACTGAAGCTGCTTCATCTTTCAGCCAGACAAATTTGAGTGAAGCCTACACATCTGCACAATTGTTTGGATTAATGCATTTTATGCAAGTCTTGGCTTGACTTTCAGATTTTTTGGTTACCCACCATATGTCTGTGAAGAGGCACAAAACTCCTTCAGTGGATTTGTAACTGTCTTACTGTGACTGTAGAAGTGCAAAGTTCCTTTTCATACTTGGTGGCACTGATTAGAAGACCAGTTTGGAGAGGTAAGGATCCTATAGATAAATGGCTCCTTCAAAAATCACATGAGGAAAAATGTCTACATGCCTTTTTTTTTTTTTTAAGAAACTTAAAATATTGGAAATTTGTAGGGACTGGGGAGACTTCAGGTTTTTTTTCCTTCACTGCCATTTTCTTGTGAGATCTTGGGATAAGCACTTCTTCCTGAAATACTGTAATCATTGTGGTATAGGTGGTATAAAGAATATATCAATCTCTTTAAGAATAAGATATTGGTGGGGGGAAAAAAATCACAGAAATAGTTGTTCTGGTTAGACCAGTAGCCAACAAGTCATTTAAAGTATAAACACTGCTACAGAGTTGGATCTGTTAAGTTCATTCATGCAAATGGCATAAGGGGAATTTATAATGCCTTGATCCACACTAATTCTGTACTTTAGATGAGAAAATTTTATGAAGGGCACAAATAACCCTTTTTTTTTAAAAAAAAAAATGGGGGGGAATATTCCCAAACCTCTCCCTTTATTACATATACATGGCTCAATTATTATGCAGTGTAGGAAAAGGACAGCTACTAGAAAGGATTCTGCATTGTTGTGCTTTAGATGGCTGCACTAACATTCTTCAAAAATTATTCTTCACAGCCATGTCTCCATTTGAGATTTAGCTGAAATACATTCCAAAACAAAATTCCCTGAAACTTGAACCTCCGATTTTTAAGTTAAATCATTAATGAGGAAAAATCCAAAAGACAGGACTAAAATTACCACAGGGACAGAAGTTTTTGTCTTAAGACACCTAAACTATTTCCTCACATATGCACACATTCCTAAAAATAGCCAGAAAGAGAAGAAAAGATAACAGGATAATTGACAACATTTCAAAATGTATTTTCTACAGCATGTTGGCAAGTACTTCAACAAAGCAGTGTAATTGCACTGTATGTTTCCAACAGATATATTTGTATTACCTTAATTATTCAAATCAAAAACAATGATTGCACAGATAGATGGAGAAGGCCTAGGATAGGTACTTTGAGTTTTTAAAAACTTGTGTTTCATATTTAATCTGCCCTTGATCCAAACACTATGCTACTCTCTTTTCCTACCTCCTTTTTGAAGTTTTGGAATCATTATTATGCCAAAGGAGTTTAAAAATAGTGTTCTGCTTACAGAAAATAAAAGAATTACCAAGGAAGACAACGTCAGCCAGATCCTGTAATCCTTTATTCCATGAAGAAAATTCCACCAGTAGAACTAGTGGCCTATAGCTGCACAAGGGATTCAGGTTTAAGACTTACATGGACAGGGTAAAGCTGCCTTTACCTCTGCTGCAACTACCGTTTAGAAATTAGACCAAAACTCTACATTTGGAATATCTTTTTTTTTTTTTTTTTTTTTGATTGCCTAGGTTATATCTCTAGGTAATCAGGAGCTGAAAGGCTCAAGATCCCTTATCAACCTCCTGAGCCATACAGTCTGTGTTAGCCAATTACTCTTAATCTTCTAATCCTAAAGTATTTTCTAATGCTCTTGTTTATTCATTTGCTTTGTGCAATATAGCATCCAGAACATTTTAACCATCCAACATTCATGAAGTTCTTCATGTCATGCAGGCCAGAACAGATTCTTGGCTTTCATGAAAGTTTGTGTAACACCACCGACTTCTCTCAATTCCATTATGGAGAACTCGCTATCTCTCCCTGTACAACTAGGATAATCCTCAGAATATATTTACTCTTGAAGCTATTCACCATACTATAATTAACTGTATCTGTAGACAGAACCATGTTGCCTAAGTGAGTCAAAGACTGACTACAGATTCCTAGCTTTCTGGGCTACTGGTATTTACCAAAACAAGAAATCAGACTATCGTGTCACATTCATTTGAAATGACTATATTCTTCTCAAGATTTAT